CTTTCCCTTTTCCCCCAAAATGCAGAACTTAACAGCTTTTAAGAGGGTGGAGGGGCACTACCGAGAGAGAAGTGCCCTCTGCAGGCTCAGTCGCCTGCACTGCTCCTCACTGACGAAGTGCTCCATAATCATCAAAGGGTATCAGCGTGTAGCTGAAAAGACTTGACGGTGACCATGACTGACCTAGCAGAGACCAGCCCATTTTGAGGTAACTGCCTGGAAAAATCAAGCTGCACCTTCTGTGGAGGATGAGGAAGGAGCAGCTGGATAGGGGGTGGCATAACTCACCTGGTTAGGCTACATGGCCCTTTCCAAAGGCACCACCACTTCAAAAATCATGGAGGTCAGAAGAAAGGCAGGAGGTTGGGAGAGAGCTGTAGGAAGTGAAGGGAGAAAAAAGAGGAAGACAAAGAGAAATAAGAGAAAGAGGTAAAGAAAAAAATGGGCAAGGAAAGGAGAGTCACGGGCTCATTTTATTCATCAATACTGTTCTCAGCACTTTACAAATATTAACTCAGTTAATCCTCATCATTAGCCTTTTGAAGAAGAGAGAAGCTAAGCAAAGAAAGAGTCAGTGACCTAAGAACATAAGGCCAGCACGTGACAGGGCCAGGACTTAAACCCAGGCAGCCTTGTACCAGTCTATGCACTTAATCACTCTCCTCCAACAGCAAAGTCTTAAGCCCTGTTGTAATGTGAATATCTGGCCCAAGGATGTTAACATCCCATGAAACAGCCCTAAAAATATTCAAGAGTTAGTGAAGGAATGTTTATAGCTCTTTGACAAGTTCCTAAAACTTCAGATATTTCCTTGTGAATGAATATAAAGCAGAGAATAGAGTGAAAGGGATAATTTTCCTTTGGGCTATAAAAGAAAAATAATGGCTCATCAATTAATTAAAAGCAAAGTAGCAGCCAATATTTTGCCAATATGCCCAAGAGTTCCCATATGCCAGCACTGTATTCTCACTATGTCACCAGGGCTGGGAGGAACAAGTTTAGTTGACATATTAACAGAAAACTAACTTTGAGTAGAAATGTTGTTCTATTAACCATGGTCAAACATGCCTCCAGGATAACTGGCTTGGGATGGATTCAAGAACCAGTAGCCACATAAATTCTGGCCCCTCCTGACTCTTGGGTCCTGTTTTCCAGTCTGGCTCATCCACCCACTCGCCTTTTCCATTACACGGAATTTGCCTCTCACCTCTCTCTCTTTGCAATTTAACTTCTCTTAGCTCCTCTGCCCCCTCAACCTAGTTTTATGAACAGTCCATCCCAATGGTGGATGTGGTTTAATTTACATTCTCTTAAAAGTTTGCTCAGCTCCATGTACGCCTACCTAACAGATTCTCAGCTCCAGGCCATTACAAACTCCCTCCTATGAAGAGTATGAATCACGTCCTTGGGAAAACTGAGCTGGTGATTAAGTTCCTCCCTTAAAGAATTTTTATAAAAGTGTATCATGCTCTCAGTCCAGAATGGGAGTGAGACAGGAATCAGGGGTAGGAATGGCCTGGGCAAGGCTCTTGGTGTCATCCAGCCTTTGAACACTTCATCTTTTATGTGAGCTAGATGCCAAAGAAAGCAGTTCCCATTGTGATTTTCTTCCACTGGTTCCTCTCTGACCTTGCTTTTGAAAACCCTCCCTTGCCCTGCCCCCAGGAGTTCTTCACATCTTGGTTCCATGGCTGAGTGCCTTTTTGGTTAGGGTGTTCTTTGTCTTGATGGCATGCTTCATGTTACTCTCATCTTCCTTGGGTCAGAGATATTTCTCTGTGCTTCAAAAGCACAGTAGAAAAAAAATCCTTCATATACATTGAACTATATGTCATGAAGTTATCTTCAAAGGCCTGCCACAAATACAGAAAAGCGCCCATGTAAAAACAAACAAATATACAGGCTTTGGCTATCAGCGGCTGTCAGTTTTCCAGGAGTACTACAGTATAAAGTCTGTCTATGAATACACAGCTAGGTTTCTTTATATGGAGGAAGAAATATAACTGTAGAAATTAGCAAAGGTCTAATCAGAGGAAGACTCAGTCTCAAGAGAACGCCCTTGTTTTAGTCTTCATCTGAAGCAGGCAAGAGCAAGTGGAAACAGTTCCCACTGTGTTCTCTCTTAGAACTTCCTCCCCTCCAGCTCTGCTGCCCAGTCTGTTTTGCTGACTTGTCTGTAGGAGATGGCAGAAGCAGCAAGGATGGACTCTCCCCAATATAGACAAAGAGGCCGATGGAGGGGATGAGGGGACAGTCCTGCCAGAGCAGTTACAGTACAGTAAGCCACAGGGTGAGCCACATGGTCAGCCAAGTGGTCTTCTGCTATTTTATGGGCATATGTCCCACTTTCTAATTGAACTGTTTCTCCAGAGCAGGGCCATTGCAGCACCCAGAGAAGGCTGACCATTGAAAAACAAAACTGACTGTCCCCCACGCCCACCTGCCATCCCTCTGTGGGACCTGTGTTGTAAGCAGGCTCTGAGAATTACTGAAACATTCCTGTGATTCGTCGCTTGCTCCACTTTGCTCTGAGCCAGAAAGAGCACAGGAAAGCATGTTGCCCACTGGCCTGGGGTTCCCACCTGGGCTGAGGAGAATCTGCTGCTCTTGTTCTTGGAGGGCAAGATAGCAATGGTTGCTACAATGCTACCCCACAAAAAAGCCTCATTTGCAGCTAATGTCTAAATAATAGTATTATCAGGGGCTGCTGCAGGACCAAATAAACCTTTGATGTCTTTACAGATCATTTGGCTGCTGCCATGATTTCCCAGAAACCGGAAACAAAAACATGCTGCCATCTGCATTGAGAATTTTTAAAAACAGTTCTATTTATATTGTTCTGATAATGAAAAGGGAATCTTGCATTTCCTGCGAATCATTGTATATGTCCCCTTAATATCCAACAGAACAAATGGGATGAAAATTGGCATGTTATGCTCCAGGGTTATCAGATGAAAAGTCAATCCCTTTGAAGAATGCCCCATCTACCTGCTCTAGTCCATGGTTCCCAGCTCCTATGCACATGGCTATCCTGAGAAGGGCTGAGGAGCAGGGGCGCCAAAGGCAAAAATAATGGCTTTCTCCTGTCACAGGGGGAAGGGGGAAAATAAGTGAATGAATATAATTCTCACAAATGTAAACTGTATTCCCATAAATTTTACTTAAATATTGCTTATTGCCAGTTTAACACTGGCCAGGACTCAGAATCAACTAACAAATGTCCAAGCAACACCAAATACTTGCAGAAAGAGAATGTGTGGTTGCAGCAACTCATGTCAGCTTGCTGGATCAAGCAGAAAAAGGAAGATGTTGCACATGAATCCAGGTGTGCCTCATGTATCACATACGCAGAGTAAAGCTGGGCTCCAGAGAGGGTTGGACACTACTTGAGTCTCTTTCTACACAACTCTATTCTTCTATCTCTCTTAACTGGTTTAACTGGTTTGCTACTGGTTTAACTGGTTTAGTCCACAGAGTGCAAGATGTCTGCCCAGATCTCCCAAGGTTACATGTTAACTCCCCTGTAAGTAAAGAGATTGCCTCTCTCTCCATCATAGTCTCAAATATCCAGGTGAGAAAACCTTATGGGCCCAGTTAAAATCAAGGTTCCACCCCTAGTCCAATGAGCTCTACTCAGAGGGGTGATGTCAACAATACAAAATGGCCATAACAGGTCCTTGTAACCTGGGTATTAGGGCAGGGCAGTTCCAACAGAGGAAGGTTGTGGTCAGAAGCTACCGAATGGGGAATACAATGTGTCAGTGCTCCAGCATGCCACAAAGAGCTCCATGGACTCGAGCCAAACACCACTGAAATCTAGTGGGGAAATACAGAGGAGCTGTTAATATGTTCTCCAAAAATATTGCAAGCACTTTTTTGAAGACTACATAGAAACAGAGAGGGGAAGCTTTCGACAATATCTCATTTAATCTTACAAGACAATATGACAAACTGTTTTGCAGATGACAATATTGAGGCTCAGAGAGGTTAAGTAGCTAGCCCATGGTCCTGTAGCTAGTAAATGGTTGAAACAAAATTCAAACCCATGTAAGACTCCAAAAACCCATTCATGCTCCATCCATTCTTCATGGTGCCTCCCAAATGAACTCTGTACAGAGATAAGTCTCCTTGAATTGGAGATAAGCCATTTGCCCAGAAACTGACTGTCATGTTCTATGCCTGAGACTTTTCTGGGGCCTCAGTTTGCCAAGCACTGATGCAGCCAGTCCTGTGAGGACTCTGGCTACACCAAAAGACCCCCAGCATCCCCAAGTCGGAAGGACCCAGCAGGTACCTGCTCCTGATGCTCCTGCTCTAACGCCCAGGCTACCCTCCAGGAGGAACATTTTGGCCTCAAGCTACTCATAGGTCATTTACTGTACAAGTGCTACCGATGCCATTTTCCTGTTTGCGTTTTGTTTTTGTTTTTGTTTTGTTTTTACAGTTCGTTGCTCATCCTAACTGTCAGCAGCAATTGCTTACCATGTGGTATGAAAATCTCTCAGGCTTACGTCAACAGTCTATCGCTGTGAAATTCCTGGCTGTCTTTGGAGTCTCCCTAGGCCTCCCTTTTCTGGCCATAGCCTATTGGATTGCTCCGTGCAGTAAGGTACAGACTGCTTAAGGTGCATGTCTTTGCGGTTATTTCTTCTCTCTACTTAGCATGACCTGAGGTCCATTTTGTTCAAATAAGCAGCTGATCATTTCCCATATTTAAGGAAAATAGCTCTGAGATACCTAGCAAAAGTAAAATACTACATAAGAGAGAAAATATTAAGATCCGCATTTTTAAACCATCATTTAAAAGAGAAAGTGAGGGAAGTGATAAAATGGAAAATTTTAAACTTGTGAATCTTAATCTGATCAACAGCAGACTAGAGAGAGAATAAAAGTACTTTTCCTCTTCTCATCATCCAATGTCCTAAACATGTAATAATACCCAGAGTAATAATCATAATAAATGGCAATAGGAATAGCCAACATTTATTGAGTACTTTCCTTTCATCAAGTAAGCCCTTCTCATGGAATATCTCATTTCATTCCCTCAATTACATTATGACACATACACTTAATGAAGTGGGTTCAGAAAACAGAAATAACTAGTAGACAGACTCAAATGCAGCTCATACTGGGGCACTGCAGACCCATGTCAACATCTTCCCAGTTTCCTTGGCTTCCTTGATTGGGTTCTGGAGCACATGGACAGCTAATTAGGTCACAAGAAGGAAAACAGCAAAGGAAAGAGAAGAACTTAAAAGGTGCAAAGCTTTTCACGAGAAAGGGTGAGTGTCTGGTGCCCTCTGGTAACAGAGGGAATGGAACCTGCAGGTCCCAAACTGCCACACTTCCTGTTCCATCATCCCTACAGCCCAAGCATTTGATCCAAAACCATAAAAAGCACAAGCAGTCACTCCAGCTTCAGGCAAAAGTTTGTACTTATAGACCAAACCATGTAAAAATTTTGAAATGTTTCATGAGTTAAGATGGTCATTAAAGGTTCCAAAGGTGCATTTACCTCGTGGTATGCTAAAAAGGGAATTGAGCTTAAGTAATCAACATTCAGCAGAAGAATTATGAGTACAGGGAGATTAGTTCCACAGAAAATTTGATCAGCTAATGCAGTTAATAAAATTGTCATCAGTGAATGGATCCTCTTCTCAACTCTGCCAAAAAGAAAATCACATCAGGATGATGGGCCCAAGACTTCAGGGCTGCTGATAAGCCCACCTAACCAGGCAGGCAATGAACTGACTGCCTTAGAGAAGAAGGGTGTCATGGAGAAAAGTTAGGACTCAAACTCTTTCTTCTGTAGAATGGTATTAAAAATAAAAGTCCTCATACTGAGTACTTGTAGTGTTGAATCTTACCTCTATTGAGGATTTTGTTTCTATGGCAGTCTACCATGACATGGATTTCTAAATCAGAATTCCCCAAATGATACATATGTAGGTGAAGACAATTTTTTTCTGTCTTTCATTATGAACCGAAAATAAGTACAGTGAGTGAGAGAAAAAAAGTACAATGAGTGATTAGAGCTGGTCATTCATTTAAGGCACATGAATTATCTAGTTTGTACTGCAAATTAGATCACTGTCGTCACCCAGAGCCAAGACTAGGGATGCTTGCCTCCACACTCTCTGGCCCCCAAACTATTTCTAGGATATTCGATCATTAAAATAACAACCACTTGGTGGAGAAAACACCACCAATCCTCACCTTTGCAGTAAAACTAAATGTGACAGCTTCTAGGAAACTGGAACTAGGCAACATCAGCAAACTGGTTTGCCTCTGCCTGCCTGAGGAAATAGTCACAAAGAGATGATATGCCAGTTGGTAAATTTTTAATTTTTCTGAGAAGACTCTTAGCCAAATCATGCAGATGTGATAGGAGGAAAGCATATGTGTGGGAGAGGGAGGGAATTTTGGACTTTCTGGGGGCCCAGTAAATCCAGGAGGCTGATGCCACTGTGGAACGTAGTAGTCAGACATATAGCAGTCTTCTGGAACACTCTAGAAGAAATGAAGAAATGACTGCAGTTTGGGGTTTCTTCTCTTCTGTTCAAATACATGTCTGATTAACATTTGGTGCTCCTGGAGCTTTCGGTAAGACTAAAAAAGAGAGCACTCAAGATAAAGGAGCTGGTCACTAAGCCACTTGTGGTTTCTGTGCACCTTCTGGGCTGCAAGTCTGAGCTCAACACAATGGAGGGTGTGTCCACAGCTGAGTGACAAGTCTTAGTCTACAGCATGAAATTATTTTTGGTAGTAATGTTCATTCCAAGGAAAGAGTCCATCATTAAAAGCTTGTCAAACTTGCTCTGAGGCAGTCAAAGAACAGATAAAACATTCAAAATACCTTTAGTCTTTCCTTTCACCATTTAGAAATCTTTTTTAAGTTTGGCAGAGATATTGTATCACCAGCGGTTACAGAGGGGTCACATCTTCCATGTGAAGAAACCAGCCCTCTTTAAAGGCTCCTGTTGTCTGGAATACAACATCCTCCCAAGAGGAGTGGCGCAGAGGGATAACTCTGTTAATATGCCAGTATCCTTCCTCCCAAGGGGCCACTGCCTTTATATTTGTCTAGTAATTCTTTAAAAAAGCCAGTCCAATTCCAGCAAGTCCATGTTCTAATGACCTTATTACACCTCCCTCAAAGAAATTCGACTGATATTCTTTAATAAAGGTATTCATAAAATTTCATTGCTAAACCTCATCAACCAGCTACAGTCCATGGATGTCTAGCATATGTTGAGATTTCTGCTTCCAACCAAATGCTACATTTACTTCCTAATAGTAGTAGTCCTAATCTGGGGACTATTAGGGACACCAAAATTACTTGATTAGCCTGCCAAAAAGACCTCGTCATTTATTTTCTTTTAAATTCCCAAGGCTGTCAATTCTATTTTTACATAAGTTTCTGAGAGGCCTTAAGACAGTCAGTTATATAAGATTATAAGGTTAGGGGTATCAGTAGAAATTCAGCAACTAATATGGTGGTTGAAGAGGACAACGGAATCACATATGAGTACACATGGTGATAACTGCAGGTCTGGATCATAGGACAGGTTAGTTAGGATCAATAAAGAGAACAGTAATTTTTTAAATCATTTCTCATCGTAAACACCAACAAGGGAGAGGGAGGGAGGGGAGATCAGGCAGCCCCTGGGAGGCTGGTGGGCTCTTAGCCACACGATGTTTTCCTAGAGAGCTCTTCTCCCAGAGACAAGGGCTCCAATGCCAAAGGGCCTTTATGATTCATTAGGCTGTCTTCCATCCTTTGCTATGCCATTCTGACTCATAATTTAGGTTGTATGCCTGCTAAAATCTAACAGCTGAAAAAATAATAGTCATCCTCGAGGGCCCAGTATCTCTATAGCCAGTGGACTGGGACACAGTGAGCATCATGAGAGCACTGAGGAACTGCACAAGTTCTAATTACAAAGAGTGAGAGGAAAAGCTGACTTCCTCCAGTACCTGTTAACCTTCACTGTTCAATTACCCTTATAATTAGTCCCAGGACTAAGGCAGAGAAAACTGTAAAGAACTTTAGTCCTACTTGATGACTTCATAGTCTGCAATCTCTGGTCTTACTGCCATGTAACTCTTGTTTGCAGAAATATCAAAGTGTTAGTCCTTGCTCCCAACCCTCAGCTCCAACCCAAACAAAAGCATCTGGTAAAGAAGGCATGAATGACTCCGCAGCTTTTTGAAGACCCCTGCTTTGTCTTGCCAAAGCTAAAGTGGTTTGAAATAAGGGTCCTAAACTCATGTGGTTCAGAGCCAACCAGGAGAGGACAGTGCCTCCAAAAGCCTCTGTGTCCCCTCATTTGCCTCTATCAGAGAGCTACACTAAAAAAAAAAAAAAAATCACAATGCAATTTTTGAATCATTGCCAGTGAGGGGAAATTTGTGCCAAGAAATAAAGCATTTTTAACTCTTTTGTTAAAAAAGCCTCTGCCCTCAAATCCAAAAGGAGAGTCCATCACCTGTCACCCTGTTAAGACAAAATTTAAGAGTAGCAGGAAGCTGATCACTTTCATACCTAACCCAGCCTGAGACTTGCAACATTTTCTGTTCATCTTTCCATCTATTTCCTACCAGTGTTTAGCCTGTCTCTACCCACTAGAAAATTAGCAATTTTTAAAGGAAGGATCAATTTGTATACCTTATTTTATCTCCATCACCTCTCGTGCCCAGCAGCATGATGCACACAGCTGGTACCCCAAAAGGGCTTGTGACATAAATACATAAAGACTCTGTGTAGGTCTCCCTTTGTGAAACCTCACATATAAACTTTTCAAGGGTGAGTCAAGAGTCTTTTAAGTTTCAGTTAGGGAAACTGCCTGGGGCCCTCCAGTGCCACATACTGTTTCCTTTGTGCCAGGCACTGTTCTGCTCTGTACGTATTAAATAATTCATTCCTATGTCAACAATATGTGGTTAAGTACTATTTTATCCCCATTTTACAGATAAAGAAACTGAGACACAAAGGGATTAAGTAACTTACCAAAAACTATGGAGTCATAATTTAAACCTAGGCTCTCTGGCCCCAGAGACTTGCCTGTAACCACTACACACATGCACACACACACACAGCCTTCTCCCCAACCCAGTTACAGTGGCAGCATTACAACCTTCAATGCTGTATGTAAACATTTTAGCTACAGACTGACTTCGGAATGGACTGAAGATCTTTAGAGTTACCAAGACTTTTCTAAAAATGAGGAGTCAAAACCACCATATGACAAAGGCTACTCCTTCCTTTTCTTTCCTTAGAAGCCCTACCTTTGAAATCCCACTATTACTCAGCACCTCTTCAGCCCCTAGGACTACGGGTAGATTCGCATGGTAATATGAAAACACCCTGACTAGAGACACCTAGGGAGATTCACCACCCCAAAGAAAGATTCCTGAGCCCTAAGTTTCAATAAGAATTTTGAAGGGAGCATACTGAGGAATCTGCCACTAATTTAACTAGGATCTCTCTGAAAAGTGAGAAGCACTCCATCCTTGAAGATGTGCATGTTTCTTTTTGGAATACTTGATCCAAAGTTTATCTCCATTCAGCTTTCCAATTTGTACACTGAGCCCTTGCTCGCTGCTGAAGAGTAAGGGTGGCATTTGGTGAGGGAGACTCTCCAAATGTGGTACCGACTGGAGAAAGATGCTAGAAACATTCTCTGTGTGCTTCACTGCAGTTCAAGCCTATTTTGTGGGCATGTGGCCACCAGATCCCAGTTAGGTGCTTACTAAGAGCCTAGTTATATGGAACATGGAAGTGTGGCAACCAGTAAAACCAAGTGCCCACCCCTGAGGGCCCATAAATGCAGTTCTTTTGGAGCTAATTCAGGAACACTGCTCAGGTATTCTCACATTCATATATTTCCCAAAGTGAAAGAATATTGCCCAGAAAGTTTGGGGTAAACCATACTAGACTACTACAAGCTTGGATTTCCTGATATGTTCTTAGCTCATAAGGTCCAAGTAATGACAAAGCCTCTTAGGCTGAGTTTCAGACTGAGTTTTGCACTCCAGTCGGAGTAGGCCAAGGCCTATGTCTCCTGAAGCTCCATCTCTTTGTACACGTACGCTATTACCGGCCCCAGATTTAATGATTTCCAGCGTAGAGCTGCTAGCATATATTATTTGACTTTTCTCCTTTCTTTTGGCTCACCCAGTAGCCTTGTGAAAAGAGGTTTCCCCAAGCGTAATTTGCTTCAAAAATTACCTTAGTGAGACAAATAGAAAATGCCACAAAAAAAGAAAAAGAAAAAAACTATTGAAATGATTTGATCTCATCTGACCTTTATCAAAGTTTTATCAGTTGAAAAGATGTATTCAAGCCCAAAAGAAAAATAGGAAAGTAGCATCAATTCCTAACCTCATTTCTCCTCCCTAGTGGGAACTGGCCCTGAGAAAACCTTATAAATCATAGCAGGGCCTTATCAGGGTTTTTCTTATGGTCTGTGGTATACATAGTAATTTTTACAGATGCATCTTCTACCAGAAGATAACGATTTGAAGGAGGTAACAAAAAGAACATTAAATTCCTCAAATCAGTTCTTCCAAGGAATCCTAAGGCTAGCTTGGGTATAGCTGCATGCAGATGCCTACAATCAGGTGCTCCATCCAGGTGAGAAGATGGGGAGGTATCTAATATTCTTATCTAGGTAGTAACTGGAAGATGCTATGTAGAACCCACTGATAAAAGACCGAGGAAACTTGGACATCAATCCCGTAACAGTGATGTCTAACTGCATAGTCAGCATCTTTTTCTGACATTTCTGGGACCCTGCTGGGACACACAACATCTGGTATCCCTTGCCCTCTCTTCGACCTTCCCTCTCTCCCAACCCACTCCCCATTCTGCAGTCATTCTCAATCTTCTCTTTGCTTCTCACTGCTAACCCAGCTAGGACACAGTGAAAAGAAACAATATGATGACTATTTAAGGATGTCTTGTGCATACACCAAAGTGTCCCAGTGTTCTGGCTAGGAAAAAGGGATCCAAGATGCTAACATAGTCAACTAAAATTCTGAAAAAGTCAAACTAGCTATTTGAAATCATATAAATCAAAATGACACATGGTTTAATTCCCTGTTATTACTAAATTTTTATTTGTCTTTATCTCTGCATTCTGAATTCAGCACATCTACCTATGGCCAAAAATAATCTACCATCCATATTTTGTAAATAGTAAAGTTCAACATTAGAAAGAAGTCATTTGTAAGGTGTTTGCAGGCCCCGTGGCTTTTGGGTAAACATGTTTTTCCATTTCTGAAGTTATTATAGTGCCATATGACAATTTGATAATTCAGGTGAATCTTTAAAAAGGTGTTTTTCCAGCACAAAGCAGGTATGCCCAACGTCTGGACTTGAGATGCAGTTTTTAAAAAAAGATAAAAATTTTCTTTTTAAAATTTCAATAGGTGGGTTCTACAGCATGAGAATAATAATAAATCATGTTACACTAATAACTAGCATGATTAAAGTAGATGATTATCATGCTGAAGCATATTAAAAGAACATTATCAAGCCATCTGATTTATAAATATTATGCTGAACATAATCATAATGAGAGAAATTTTACCTGGAGAAACCCTTGTAATTGATCTTTACTGAACCAATACTCATCTCCTGGGAGACATTTTACTCTAGGACTCCTGAGTAAGGCAGAACGTGCACATCCATTGCCTAGTCACTTGCTATAAGTGAACATCTGCCCTGGAGAAGGAACTGAGCTTCAGAAAAGTCTTCCCTCTTTGCTTTTGTCATACTAGTATAGCTGGGCAAGGGGTAAGATTTGGTGCTTAGGTGAGTTCAAAGACTCACTGTGCAGCCTCCAATTTAATCCTCAAAGATCTAAGTGGCCTTTGGATGGCATGCCAGGAATAGAGACAATGTGACCAACACTTGCTCCCTAACAGGGAGGACAATAAAATAGAATTTTTAAAAGCATAGAAAGAAAGTCTTATATGTCTAGCAACTAAATAACCTCAGAGTTAAAAATGAAATCAAATGGGAAATTATAAAATATTTAATAACAATATCAATGAAAGGGCTATGTGTCAAAATTTATGGGAACATAGCTAAAGCAGGAAATGTACAGCTTTAAATAAATTTACCAGTATAAGAAACATTGAAACAAATCACCTAAGTATACAACTCAAGAAAATGGCCAAAAGAGCAACAGAGCATATATCCAAAAAGTATTTTTTTTTTTTTTAAATCCTGAACACTATTGAGACAGATTACTTTTCCCCAGATTTGAAGGTCATAAAATTCACATCCATGTGGTTAGGGGTAGCTGTTCAGTCAAACTGTAACATATGTCAGTATGTTCTACTCTTTTCTCTTTTCCCACTAGATTTTCTAAATGGGAAAAATTGAAGTCAGTAGGAAATAGGTTTGGTCCAGCAGCATCTCACATAAAAATTCTAGAGAAAATGTTGCCTGGGTTCAATTAGCAGTTTCTGTCCAATATCTGGTTCAACTTTTGGCAAAAGCAATGCTTTAAAGAGAGACCTGCACCCACCTAGAACTGCTAGTTTATAAAACATGTCTTGTGCATATTTTGTTTCCAGCTAGGACGAACCCTGAGGAGCCCTTTCATGAAATTTGTAGCCCATGCAGTTTCTTTTACAATATTCTTGGGATTGTTAGTTGTGAATGCATCAGACCGCTTTGAAGGCGTCAAAACCCTGCCCAATGAAACCTTCACAGACTACCCGAAACAGATCTTCAGAGTGAAAACTACACAATTCTCCTGGACAGAAATGCTCATCATGAAGTGGGTGTTAGGTAAGCAAGTCACTCTATCTCTTATTCTCTCCAAATTATAACAGGACAGCATTAAACTCTGACTTCTGAACTTATTCCTCTCCCCTTGACTGTACTTTTGCCAGACAAAATGGTGAGTGGATGACCAGCCTGACCAACAAGAAAGTCAAAGTCAACTTCTGCATGTGCTGATATGTAAGATGTACAGACCTATAATATAAATCCCAATTTTGAAAGGAGATATTTGAGGAAATTTCATTATGTGCTTTTCATAATATGTATATTGTGATTGTAAAGCAACTTTTCATGCAAAAACATATTTTCCTCATTCAAATATAGTCTCCTGGAAGCTTCAGAAATCAAGTTTTGCTTCTGAAAAAGAGTATAAAATTGCATATTTTTTTGTTATTATTGAATATAGGCATACCTCAATTTATTGCACTTCACTTATGCTACCTTTTTTACAAATAGAAGGTAAGACCCTCCACCAGCAAAAAGATTACAACTTGCTTTATTGCAGTGGCCTAAAACCAAGCCTGCAATACCGTAGAGGCCTGCTTGTACTGATGTACAGTAGCACTGTGATGATAAATATAACCTTAAAAGTCAGAGTAACATCTTCTCATTATTTATGTTAATGAAGGTAATGAAGCTGTGAAATTCCTATTTGTGGTGATATTTTGTGCTGCCAAGGTCTCCACTAGAATCGCCAAAGAAATTGTTCCCATTCCTCACTGACTAGCTAAAAAGGCTATCGCACATTTGCCTAACTCATAAGAACTATTACTAGGAGGATATAAGCAAGTAAAATAAAACCAGCAATGATTAATATTGTACACAGCAAAATGCTTTATAGATTTTTTCAAACAATGAAACTGCAAAACTGGTAAAAAAAAAAAAATCAGACTTGGTAGGGAAATAATTTCAATTGCAAAAGCTATAATCAGTGATATTGTGTATAACCAAAACCTGATCCATAAAAAATTTATATCAAAAAGATCTGAATTTGATGAGAATGTAAAACTGAATAGAAAAGATTGAAAAAATGTAACCATGCAGTATCAAGATTTTATCAATTAATTAAATTGCCCTAACGACATTCACCCTAGATTTGCTTTCTTGACAAAAATTCAATATTGGTATAATTTTCATTATGTTTATGCTCACAAACATTGAGTCAAAATGTATTCAAAGTGTCTGTGCCATCAATCAACAAATCACAAAAGAATACTTGAAAAGACGGCCCAATATTTGGCCTGTGCTAATTAAATGATATAACCTAAGAAAGCCACAAAAGTTGAACCACTGGAGAGTATCCTATAGATGCCTGAGCACAAAATAGTTAGGAATATGGTCTTAAAGCTGGATCTCTCGATAGGGATATAAGAATAATTTGATCCAAAGGGCAGAGGCAGAAAAGCACACTATGCTCCCCATGGGCTTTTAATCAACAGGCAAGTACATAACCAAAGGTTCATTTAGCGGAGTCACTGGCACTAAAGTTAGAAAGAGATATTAAAGGCTGCTGCAGACTGAGTTGTGTGGCCTCACTTTCACAGTTCAGTCTGTCTCCATCTTCCCTAGCACACTCCCCACAGTTTAACTAAATTAAGACTTTAACATCAGGCACATTGCAATGGATTGAATGTTTCTCTCTCCAAAGTTCATATGCTAAACCCTAATCCCAAGGTGACGGTATTAGGAGGTGGGAACCTTTGGGGGTGATTAAGTCATGAGGGTAGAACCCTCATGAATAGGATTAGTGGCCTCAGAAAGACATTCCAGAGAGCTCTCTTACCTTCTCTGCCATGTAAGGGTACAGCAAACAGTTTGCAACCTGGAGGAGGTCCTCACCAGAACCCAAACATGCTGGTACCCTGATCTTGGACTTGTAGCCTCCAGAACTGTGAGAAATAAATGTCTATTGTTTATAAGTCACTCAGTCTGTGGTACTCTCTGTTATAGCAACCAAAACTGACTAGGACACAGTTTTAATAAAAACAAAAGGTCATACATTGGATTTATATAAAAAAGAAAGTATTTATGTGACCGATCACTCACCCACCCCCTTCCTGATTTGGAGCCCACGTGCAAGACTCTGTTGAGTACCACCAGACATCCCCTTTAAGTGGATATGCGCCACAGGTTAATGGCTCCTACTGAACCATGACTTCCTGAGTCCACATATTTCTCTTCCTATGTGTACCAGCATTATCCCAATAAAAGGGATGCAACTCCAGCTACCAAGGTTCACACTTTCATAGCTTGGTCCCAGCTTCTGCCCATCAAAGCAGAGCTAAGTTTCCAAGACTATTACATCAGCACTATTATAGAAGGGAGAACTTGTTTCTCATTACCTATTTCCTGTTAACATTTCAGACAGAAGAAAGGTTGTAACTACTTTTTATTACACAGATAATTTTTTCAAACTTACTGTTATAAATTTGAAATCGCCAAGTCCTGGACAATCTTTGTTTCATCTATATCATCCCTACTTCCTGTCTCCCAACTCTCTAGCAAAATCTCACCTATAAACATTTTTGTGTATATCACTACAATAAGTTATCTTTTTCTTTTTTTCATTTTTGCTCTTTGTACTTCAAGTCCACTGATGTTTCTTCTGCATTATCTGTGATTTTAATCCCCAACCAGTGAGTTTTTATTTCAAATATATTTTTCAACCCTGTAAATTCCATTTGGTTCCCTTTTATAGCTTTCATTTCCTTCCTTGTGATATTTATATTTTCCTTTAAATCCTTGAACATACTGTGCATATTTACAATAACTATTATAAAGTCCTTGACTCTTAATTCCATCATCTTCTTCATTTCTGAGTTAATTTCTACTGACTAATCTTTTTCCTGATATGGATCACATTTTTCTGTATCTTGATGTGTTAGTATTTTTTGACTGAATAATGGGCACTTTGCATGTTGTTATTAAGAATCTGGATTTTGCTGTCTTCCTTTAAAGACTCTGTGGCTTTGTTCTGACAGGCTGTTAAATTACTTGCAGACGAGTGTGGTCTTTTTCAAGCTTTCTTAGAGTGGATCTGGAGAGGCTCTACCATAAGGATTATTTATCCTTATACTACAGAGACACACATCTAGGGTCTCTACTAAATGCCCCAAGTAATCAACAGACTCTCAACTCTAGATGGTCAGAGCTCAAACACCTCTCCACCACTCGGGGTGAGCTCTTGAAACTGTTCAGCTTACAGCTCTCTGGCTATTATTTGTGGGGCTGTACTCTAATGCATTCATGACTTAGTATTCAGGAAACATTCAAAAGGACACTGTACAAATTTCTAGGCTTTTTATGTGTTTGTATTTGTTTTTAGTTTTGTGTTTTGTTTTTATTTTGCCTAGTACCCTTCTTTTCGGAACTCTGCCATACAACATCTAAACACATCAGGCTCTCTGAACACTAATCTCTGTCTCTTCAACTCACTAGGACTACCTTCTATGTTTCTGGAATCCCTCTGCAGACTGGAATGTGTCTCCAAAAAGAAAAACAGGGTGATTATATGGCTTACCCCGCTTGCTTCCCTTAAGGATCACAGTGCTGTGCTTTTTCCAATATCTGAAAATAGTTTCTTTATTTCTTCTCAGTTTGTTAGTCCATCGCGGCTGGTAATAGAAATCAGGACTTTTTCTAAAACAGAACCACAAACATAAAAGGAAATTAAAAATAATTTCTTCGTATCTTCAAATAATCAGTCAGTATTCAAATTTCTTTGATTGAAGAGACAAGTTGAATAAACACCTGCAAAGCTTGCTTCCTCTCTTCCCTCAGGTCTCTGGTTCAAATTTTACCTTATCAGAGCAGTTGAGAAGATAAAAGCAAGCCCTTATCTCCCTATTCTGATAAAGTAAAATTTGAACAGAAACCTGAAGGAAGAGAGGAAGCAAGTTTTGTAGACATCTGGGTGAAAAGTAATTCCAGACAGAAGGATCAGTATGTGTTAAAGGCCTGGATTCAGGAGCAAGCTGAGCGTGTTTGAGAACAGCAAAAAAAAAAATAGTGCTGCTGAAGCACAGTGAATAAGGGGGAGAGAGCAGAGATCAGGTAAGACGGATAGGCAGAGTCAAATCATGCAAGGCCTAGTAGGCCATGGTACAGAGTTTAGATTTTATTCTCAGTGTGACTAGAAACCACAGGGGAGTTCTGAACACAGAAGTGACATCATCTGACTTAAATTTCTAATAGATCACTGACTGCTGTGTAGAGAACGGATAATTCTGGGACAAGAGCAGAAGCAGGGAAACCAGTTAGGAAGCCACTGCAGTAATTCAGACAAGAAATGGTTGGTTTTGAGAAGATGGCAAATGGTGATTATATTTTGAAGGTAAAATCAATAACACTATTGAATTGTCTGTGAGATGTGAGGTAGAGTAGTCAAGGAAAATTCCAAGTGTTTTAGCTCAAGTAATGGTATAAAAGAGAGCCAATCACTGACATAGGAAAGACCAAGGAAGGAGCAGTTTGGAGAGGGAGTAGAGACGGAAATCGAGAGTTCGATCTGAGATATCTATTACACATCCAAGTAGAATGTCAAGTAGCAATTGGATATACATGTCTGAAGTTCAGAGGAGAGGCTGGGGATGGAGAAATAAATTTGAGCATGTCAGTATATTTAAAATAAAGTATATGCAATCACCTTGGCTGTGAATGTGGGCAAAGGAACTGAGGACCAAGCTGAGGGCACAATAATATATCAAGGATGGGAAGATGAGAAGTATCCAGCAAAGAAGACTGAGCTCAGAGAGGATCCAATCCTCTGAGGGAGATGGGAAGTCACTGAAGAATTTTGAGGCTAAAAGTGACAAGATCTGATTGCGTTTTAAATAGATCACTCTAGCTCCTGTGCTGAGAATACACTGAAGCATGGGGGTGGGAAGGGCAAGAAGCAGGGACACCTTGACAAGGCCATTTGCTTCTTTGTGGTCTCCTTCCCTTAAAGGAACAGGCTGGATTTGTTAATGTCCCAAGGCTCCCCTTTTCCAATATAGCTCTGTGAATAAGTCAAACCCAATTACAAATATATTCTTCCTTTATTCTAAATGCTTCACTTGATTATTAGCAGAATTTTGATAAAATTCTAGATTGTCAATTCGGGATACTTAAGGTACGCACAGAGTTAGGTAGAGGCCACAGGAGACTAAGAAGACACACCCAGAGGTAGAAGAAAAACCAGAACACGGTATCAAAAAAGACAAGAACAGAATATGACTGAGGATAGAGAGATAAATTTGCTAGTAGACATGTGTTCTGTAGAGCTGTCAGATGAACTGTTTTGGGGAAGACCAAATGAACCAGAGACCACCACTCCTTCGAGCCGGGAGAATCTCCAACATCAGTTTGAACCATAGGAATCCATCTTTCTTGCCTGTATCATAAGCAGCCACGCCGGGGTAGCTGAAAGAGGTTATAATAAAACTTCGCCACTGGAAACTGTGGCTCTACAGATGCTTGTCAAGGGCTGCATAACAACATTAGTGGTTCACAGAAAGCCACGAGGCTTGGAGGACAGGAAGTCTTTCCACAGTGCATGTCATCTAGGAACAGAATCATGACACAAAGACTCCTTTTACACCACTCTTATAGAGAATCTGGCAGTGTTTTCTTAAGCAGATGCCCCATTCAAAAGTTCAAATGATCTAAAGCTAAAGCTCAACTGATGGAGTGCAATGTAAATGCCCAGCATAGCATGAAAATACACATAAAGGGCTGGAGAAGAGGAAAGAGCTTTGGACTGGGTGTTAGGAACCCATTCCAACTGTGTCCCTCCCTCCTTGGTGGCTCTGCCTCTCTAAATTTGTATTCACATGTGTAAAATGTGAGGATCTAGCTGCTCCCTCACCCACCCAGGATTGTAACTCTTTAAGAGCAATGCTAAGACTTAGCTCCAGGATCACACATCCAGGTTGGGCCAAGAGTAAAACTGTAAAATCATATGGACTGAGTTCCTCACCTAATTTGTTCTTTTGATGGTTTCTTCATTTATTTAGATAAGATTTCCAAGGAGACTACTCCAACTAACTTGCCAAATTTTCTCCCAGCAAGTCAGGCCATATTTCTGTCCTGCTTATCACCCTTACAGGCTATCTAGCTGCCTAGGGTGAAAACTAGTCTCCTCCTCAAGGCCCAAAGTGGGGTCTTCATGGTCTCCTGGGCCTTCACTAACCTGCCCAATCTCCAGCCCCATACCCTGACCCTTAAGCCATACTGAGCCTCTCAAGGTTCCCTAGAAGAACCTGTTCTCCCTCACTTCCATGGCCATGACCTGGTATACCCTGCCAGCCCATCCTCCTCCAAGTACCTAACTCCTGGTTCGTCCTGCCAAGTGTCGCCTGCTCCATGAATTCACTCCTTCATTCAGTCAACAGATATATGTTGTACCAAACACTCTACTGAGTCAAAAAATTATAATGCTGATTGCTCTTATCCCTGTGTCTCCACAAATAGTCCCCTGGACATTTTTTATTACATAATCTGTCACCCTGTATCACTAGTGTTTGTAGATACATGGATGGGAGTGAACCACCTTTTGAACTGTTAAGCTCCATCTCAGCAGCCTGCGGGCCATTACTCCAAACCTGCCCAAATGGAACTACATAATTCCTCCAGGGCTTCCCAGCATTTCCCAGACTGTCCCTCTGCCAGCCACCCTCATAATTATCGGTGACCTTGTTCTCTTGGCTCCAGGCATCTCTGAGTGAAGGAGATTTTGCCTGAAGGAGACTCCAGTAACCAGCAAGCATCCTTACCCCCTAAGTCCCAAGCTCTAAACACTCCTCTGATTGACATGCTGGAGGCAAGAGACCATGAGGCTCAGCTTGAATATAAAATGCTGAACTATCCTCAGTACCTTGGAAGCAGAGTCTAATTTCACTCACTAAAGTACTTAATTTCACACATTTCTTTTTTCATTAAGCATTCCTACTGCTCAAACCCTTGGGCCCATGCTACTTTTACTCACAGCCTTGGAATAATTTAAATTAGTCTGGGTGAGTTAATATTCAAATCTAGGAAGACTGATGTGGGCATCTGACCATGGAGGAAGTGATTTGCAATGCCCAATGAGGAGCTACTATACTGGTCAGAAAAGTCAGTTTCTGCAAATAATTTGCATTTCAGATTCAGAGCTTTGAACACTTGAAATTATCTGCAAAATCCCAAGAAAATCAAAGGCTTATCCCGGTCACACGCCTGGTATGTGGTCAAACTAGAACTTGAACCCAGGGCTTCCTGAATTAAAGCTAGTCATAGCCCTAAGTGATAACCTGTGATTTCCCTAGTGCACAGCTAAAAGCAGTTCCACAAAAACATTAGAAATTTTAATTGGAAGAGGGGTAGAGGAAAGCAACAAACATTATTTTTCTACCCTGTAATGACTTTCTAATAATTTTTAACTTTTCTAATGACTTTTCTAAAAAGGTATTTTCTTTAAATACTTATTTGAGCAGGCACAGATGAAAGTACATTTCAGTGTTAATAAAATTATTACTTCATTGAATTACCACACAGATTTTGAAAGGGTAAGCTTGGGAAGTATGGCTTTGTTAAGAGAAAAAAAAAGGTGGGGGCAGGGTAGGGGGTGGTAGTGAGGTGTCTTGTAAATAGACCGGCAATGTTTGGGGATACCTTCTGTCGTGGAGACTCCAATTTGATACAGACACACAGATCTTAGAATCTCTTTCATCAAACAAAGTCGCAACTTCTATAAACAGCTGCTCTTAAATTACTTTTCTCCTAAGAAAAACATTTAGTTTCAAATCCTTTTATTTGAAAAGGAAAAATTCTGATTTAAAAAGGCCCTGGACAGAGTCCCAGAGCAGGGATCAGCTCATCACTCAAACGCAACCAGATGTAGGCCTGCAACCAAGTCAGCCATGCTTCAGCTCTCCGTGACGATTTGTCTGCTCCTAATATCATCCTTAACTCCAGGCTTTTTAGGCACCTCGAAGACCACAGTGTTATAATGTGGTCATCTGCCAATGTGCTTGGGTTTGCGGTCTGGAGGAAGACATTCACCTGTGTGACATTCACAAGGAAATGAAGGACAGAGCTTCAGGGGTGGATGCACCTACTCAAGGACAGAGGAAAGAATGAGAATGGCTGAAACCTTGGGAAGCAGCAGCATTTAAGGGATGGGAGAGCATAAGGAACAACAAAGGATGCTGAGGAGCAGGAGCAGGAGAGGCAGGAAGCACCTGAGAAGGCAGGCCTTCCATCTGATGCACAGGAGCAAGGGGAGTGCCAAGAAAGGCTAGCTAACATCTGGGGAATGTATGGCCAGTGAGCTGGAACTATTTCACTAACCAACCAGTTAATGATTCGTTTACTACATTAACCTCCTAAGTATGCCTTCTGGCTGGGCATATTATAACACTCTGTGCCTAGAGGAAACATTAGCTATAAAATTGGGATAACAATGTATTTCATAAGGTTGTTGCAAAGATTTAAGGGAGTTAATATATACATATAAATATCAAACAGTGCCTAGCACATACTAAGTGCTTGAAATGTTATTGAATAGTTAACTTTTCATAATCTAAACCAATTTCATTTTAATAATAAGTGAAGATAAAGGTAAAATAGCACTATTCAACAGAAGTATAGTGCAAGCCACACCATAAGCCACATATTAATTTTAAATTTTCTAGTAGCCACATAATATAGGTGAAATTAATATATTCTATTTAACCCAACATATATAAATTATCATTTCAATGTGATTAATACAAAAACTGTTATATTTCACATTTTTTTTGTACCAAATCTTTGAAATCTGGTGTGTATTTTATACTTACACAGCACCTCTCAGTTCAACTGACCACATTTTAAGGGCTCAGTGTGCACACATGATTAGTGGCTACCATATTGGACAGTGCAGGTAAGGCAGGATAGATACACACCAAATTGTTAATCTAGGCTACCTTATGAGGCTGGCTTAGAAGTGAGCGGGGGGGAACTCCATAACATATTGTTTATACCCCTCTATGTTGTTTAATATAGAACAATGAGAACATAATGTCTTTAAAATCAGTAAATTAGTTATTTTAAAAAGTTGTGAGTAAAAAAATACTAATACCCCAAAACTAATGCTCACCAAAACAGTCATAGAAATATAGAGGAAAGTAGTCTAACCTGAGAGTTAGGAGAACTGGGTTCTAGGTCACATGTGGCACCTTCGGAAAGCCCACCGGACCTGCTTCCTTACATTTATTTTAGAAATGGATGATTCCTTCAGACCTCCCCGTTTTCAAAACACGTAAATGTCAGCCACTATATTTCTCCTACGTTACCTCCAAGAATGTAGCAATGGATGAGAACTCTCCCCTAACTTCTGGAGATGGTTTATTCATAAGCAGAGGCACACGTGAAACCTCTTCTCACAGAGTATTTGCTGCTTCTCAAGCTGCCTTTGAAGATGTTTCTGATGTTACTAGCTATCGACGTTCTCGGTTCCGAAGAGTTTACATTTACACTTGCACCTGGGTTTCTTCCGTGCCTCCATGTAGTCGTATATGCCGAGGAAAATGAAAAATGAGGCTGACTTTCTTACTCTCCCACAGGAATGATTTGGTCCGAATGCAAGGAAATCTGGGAGGAGGGGCCGCGGGAGTACGTGCTGCACCTGTGGAATCTTCTGGATTTCGGGATGCTGTCCATCTTCGTGGCCTCCTTCACCGCGAGGTTCATGGCCTTTCTGAAGGCCAGCGAAGCCCAGCTGTACGTGGACCAGAACGTTCCAGACGACACACTTCACAACGTCTCCCTTCCGCCGGAAGTGGCGTATTTCACCTACGGTGAGTCAGCGGCGCTCCTGCGCATTTTGCCCCGCCCCTGGCGCTTCCAGCGCGTGGCCACGTGCCTTTAGCTTCGCTAGTCCGGCACCTGGTTGTACGGTGGCTGACTTTGGTCAAGTAGAATGCTAAGGCAAACACAACCGTCCGCCCCAAAAGAAGACCTAGTCTCTGCAATATAACCAGCTGAATAGAGCGTGGACTTAGTGACTCTGAGAAATCAATCTTTTTGTATTGGAAAGAATTTGTTTTGGAAAGGTTATTTGGGGCGTTTCTGAGAGTTTTTTTGTTTTTTTGTTTGTTTTAAGAAAGATCTCATTTCTGGTGTGGATTCAGGAGCTTTTCCTTCTATATTCAAAGATAAGTCCTGGTTTCCCATTGTTAAAGTTATTTTCTCATGGCAAGATAGTGTCTTAGGAGATGCACAAGACGTACAGTGTGAGGTACTAGATTGAAATTTTAGAAATAGTAAGAGTTATAGCATCCATTTATCGAGGGCTTATCAAGTGCCAGGAACTGTGTAGACATTTACATCATACATTGCAATCATTGTAATAGCCCTGCAAAACAAAGGGTCTTTTTAAGTCCCAATTTCATAGATAAAGAAACATGTTTTCAAGGCAGGGCTCACAATGTTCCCAGAAATATAGGATTGCCTTGGATTGCTGCAGATCCTGACCCAACATGAACTGAAAACCATGCAGAAGGCATAGTTGGTTATGTTCTCAGGCTTTGGAGTTAGCGAGACATGGATTCAAATTTTACTTCTATAGCTTACTATCAGGCCTTATTTACTTAACTTTTCTGAGCCTCCATTTTCTTATATGTAAAATCGTGATAATACATATGTCAAAGTTTTAAGGCTTAAATAAGACAGTGCGTATGAATTTTGTACTGTGTTCTGAAAATATTTAATGCTCACTACATAGTAACAGTTATACCTCTTGGGTCATTTACTTGCTCAAACACTGTACTTTCTGTACTAAAGGAGAAAGATATGTGGAGAGAAGAAATAGTAGATATTTGTTGTTGCCAGTAAATTAGCTGGACATTTAATAAACATTCACGAATGGCAGCTGCTACGTCATGAAGCATGACGTTTGAATGTCAAATGTCCTATTAGATGTTGTTACAAGGCTCCTGTGGCCACAGACTCATCATGATCAGGTACAGCAATGATCTGTAGAAGGTCGATCACTTAATGCAAAAGTTGAGTTGCTGCCTATATTCAATGTAAATTGTGTTGTGCAGATTATGTTACCTGTAAATGCGGTAGGGAAACCCCTACAGAGAAATGGAGAGTCTTGTGGTATTACAGATCATCTACTCTTCATTTGTTGGTTAGCAAATTCAGACTTTATAAAAGCAAAATGATCTTGTATATTTTCCCCTCTGCACTGCTCAGGGTTCATCAAGGAAAGATGAGGAGAATCTTGATAGTGCATTGGATACTTTCTTAATGCTATGATTCGGGCTTCAGTATGGTCCACTTATGACTTTTATTCCTTTTATGGATTATATTAAGGTCTCACCCAACCCAAAGCATTGCATTTTATTCCCTTGTTTTCGTGGTTCACCCTGTGCCTTTGGAAATCTTTTTGGTCACTCACTGTTTGTTTGTGCCCCAGTTGTGGAGGAAGAGAGCCCTCTTGTGGTCGGCGAGACAGTAGTGGTCCCTTCAACCTCTACAACACCAAGTAGGCAGATGTTTTTCAGGTTGTTTTCTCATGGAAACAGCTCCAAGAAGAAAATCCCTTTTCTGAATAATCACAGTACTGTTTGTTTTTACACCCATCGCAACTCTTACAAGCCAGTCCAAATAGAATATTTTTCATGAAAAAGTCCTGAGCTGGTCACCAGGGTCTGATGACAGCTAAATCTATCTTAATAGATTACAGGAGTACCTTTTATTATTTCGGCTGAGGATTAAGATGGTAAATTATAGAGGTCAGAAAAAAGAAATTCCTTTTGGTGTCTGTTTGAAGAAGCTAAGTCCTATTTCTTGTTCTTTAAATGTGTTATTTATCCATAGACGGTGACAGATATATTAGAAAAACATAATTTAGTCTCCTTACTTTTCTTTCATAGACTTCTGAGTTATGACCTTGATGAGAACATAGAGTCTATAATTTTGTTATATTTCCAAATGTAATTTAGAATGTACTACATGAAACTTTGTGACAAATAGAGGCCTGGCTTCTCTTACTAAAGATTTCTTACCACTCTTTATTACTATAATTGTTTAACAGAGTCTAGCTCCAAAAATAAAGAAAAAATTCTTCCTCTTCCATCTCCCTTGGGGTGCCAAAAATTGCTGTGTAATATCCTTGCTGTCTGCATTTACCTGGCTCTGGAAAGGACCCCATACCCCAAATCCAATCTTTAAAATGGCAATAATAATATCTACTCCACAGGGCTGTTGTGAAAATTATAGCTAATGTAAGTGTAAGGGCTAATTGAGGTTTCTCAATGTTTCTCAATTTAAGTTTCACTTAGCATTTCTCAACAGGGACGCTATTGGCCTTTTCGGCAAGGCAATTTTCATGGTGCAGGTCTGCCTGGAGCATTGCAGGATATTATCATCCCAATAATACTCCTGCCTAGTCATTATGACAAGCACAGATGCCCCACGCACTTCCCCAGGGGGAAGGTTCTGTCCTCATTTGAGAATCGCTATATGTTTTAACACATAGTAGGCAGCTTTTTAGAGAGAGATGCTGTTCCCTGCACCATTAGAACTTCAATAGGAACACTTTGCAGCTTTGGTTTGCTGAATACACCCAGAGCACCTCAGACCCTCACCGGTGACAACAAGAAGCATCTCTCCAGCCCAGGACAGGTCCCAAGACTCTTGCCCACCTGGAACAGGGCTGTCAAAGCAAACTTGGATGACTAGTAACCACTTTAGGGGCCTTAGCTCAATCAGACACACACTGCCTGAGGAACAAAACCCAGGAGTATTTTCTCAGGCAAGATCCTACAGATTCCTGGCCCCCATGTGAGCTCATTTGTTCTGATTTGTGGCTAGTCTAAACTTGTGGTTTAGTTTCATTGTCATTTAACAAACATTTGTCAGCAGTTGCTGTGTGCTAGACCCTTGTCCCCAGGAACCTGAGTAGCATGGAACTTATTTTCCAGCTAAGTACTTTACATACATGATTTCATTTTATCCTCACCATAGCTCTATAAGGTTGATGATATATCCAATTTACAGATGGGGAAAATGAGACTCAAAAAAGTTAATTGACTTGCTCAGAGTCATAAACGCAGTGTGTAGAAAGGCCACATTTAGCCTCAGGTCTGTTTGACTCCAAGTCCATGTTCCTTTCCTCCAACTCCTTATAAAGGGGATAGCCCCCACTTGTGGAGCTCACACACCGGTAAGGAAGACAAAATAGCAAGCAGCATGGTAAGTGCCATGACAAGATGCTGTGGGAGCAGAGAGGGAAACAGGGAGTTTATCCCAGGCTGTGGAGGTCACAGAAGCCTTCCTGAAAATGACAGCTAAGCACTTCAAGGATGAATGGGAATGACGTGGACCTTGAAGTGAGGGAAGGGTGTTCCCTGCAGATGGTCCAGCACATTCCAGGAGGGAGGGTGGCACTTTCAGCACCTTGGGATTAATTTAAAGACCAGGTAGGAATGGCAAGTGATGAGGTTAAAGACCTCTAAAGATGTCTCACTGGTTTCTCTTCCAGAGCAGATCCTATCCCCACTGAATAACTCAGATTGTTTTCTTTCAGCCAGGGACAAGTGGTGGCCTTCAGACCCTCAGATCATATCAGAAGGGCTATATGCAATAGCTGTCGTGCTGAGTTTCTCTCGAATCGCATACATCCTGCCGGCCAATGAGAGTTTTGGGCCCCTGCAGATCTCCCTGGGGAGAACGGTGAAAGATATCTTCAAGTTCATGGTCATTTTCATCATGGTATTTGTGGCCTTCATGATTGGGATGTTCAATCTGTATTCCTACTACCGAGGTGCAAAGTACAACCCAGCGTTTACAACGTGAGTATCCCGGGGCTCCCCTGAGGGTTTCAATGGGCTTCCTGGGGATCCTAGGGAATCTCTTGCAGGTCAGGTTGCTCCTTGCAGAGACTCAGGTTTCCATGGTATTTCTAAATGTTAAAGGCAACTTTATTCAAAGATGGTTTCGAGTTCAGGTTCTGGAGTTGGAAAAACAGAAGGGCTGAGTTCAATTCTCACTTTGCCATTTACATGTTGTGTGGCCATGAGCATGTTCCTTAACTTCTCTGAGTTTTAGTTTACTCATCTGTAAAATAAGGATAATAACAATACCTGCTTAATGGGGATAGTGTAAGGATTCACTGAGCTGTCACACGGTAAACCCTCGATAAATGGAAGGAACTGTTATTTCTACTGTTATTATCGGCTGAGTCTGTGTTACCTAGAAAACAAAGCTCTGGGCAAATCTTGCATGTCAACACTTTAATGGAGCAAGGGAGTTGCAATCCAATTGAAATAAGACTAAAGAAAAAAAGGGAAATGCAGTGTTGGAGGAGAGAAAACACATACAGGTTGCTGACCAGGCCACCATCTACCAAAACATACAACTTGGCCATGAGAGACTCCTCCGGGAGACCGTATGGAAAGAGCACATCTCAGAATAGCCCGTCAGGACAAGAAGTCAAGAATTTATCAGCCAGACCTTTCCCATATGCTGTCTTCCAGGAGTCAGATTCACTCCCCAGGTCATTAACTCACCTGCACTTCCAGGACAGCCTCTGTGGAAGCCATACCCACACAGCATGGGAGGTAGGTCTGCACGTGGGCAGAGGCCAGCAGCTCTCAGTGCCTGACTGGGCAAGCCAGCATGTGTGCATGGGCACCAAGCAAGTCCTGCAGCATCACATGCCTTAGGAACAGCAAGGAAGGTCCAGGTGAGGGAGGCGAGAGGCATGTGGCATGAGCATGAGGCAAGGTGCTATCAGGGGGACTGACATCGGGGTCCCGAAGTAGATGCTATAAGCAGAACAAGACAGTGGCACAGCCTCCCCACAGAGGTGGTGCTGGAGCTCACTGAGCCTGTGTCCGGGAAGACCTAGACCCTCCCCTGCTGCTCCACAGAGGATGCCAGGCAGTCTCCTGAAGGGCATTAGTAGCACTAAGCAGTGGTCTAATAGAAGAATCTGGCAGACCTGAGTTTACATCCTGACACAGGAGGACTTTCTTGATGACCAAGTCACTGGATTTATCCAAGCCTCTGGGTCCTTGAAAATAAAATATAAAGATGTCCTACCTTGCTCATAAGTACCTTCACGAATCAATGAGGGAGTTATATAAAGTACCTGAAGCACAGAAGTGTTCCCAGTCTGTGTCCCACCCCAGGCCTACCTCATCCCAGAACTTCTCCCTGCCTTCATCCAGCTCCTGCCCAGAAGCTCGAGGGAAGGACAGTCTGGTCTCCAGTCACAGGCACAGCAGCTGAGACCAACAGAGCTAAGCACTTCCTGACACTTATCCCCAGGAACCCCTCGATGGCCTGGAATTTGTTCTCTAGCCAGTGACAATGGCTGAGCCTTGGCCACACAGTCTCCCTGAGCAGTTCTTACCTTGTAGAATGCTTCTCTACCCCTTCTGGAGAAAGCACCCATCAAGGGAAGATACTTGTCTCTAAGAACCCAGACCAGGTGCAGTGAACTGTGCCTCTCAGCTCAGAATCATCGAGAGCACTGCCCTACCTGTGCAGAACTACCTCGAATGGTGGGACCTGGTGCTGCTGAACAACAGAAGCTATGACTCTCTGAAGCAAAGAAGTCATGTATACTCACAGGGAGCAGGTGCCCAGCCCAGTGCTGAGAAATGACCCTGAGGGGTTCCTGGCTCTGCCCCTAAGACTGCAG